GTTACATAAGTGGTGGAATGGTTGCATTAACTATCAGCATTTTAATTTCGTCCCATCTATGCCTATACACGACCCAATTAAAAAATACACAGTGTTTTGTCCGTGCTCCAACTCATCTAATCCTTACGACCGAGTGGGTACGGACTCCGAACAACCTTAATTAAAAATAAGCGATCAATTTCCCAGGAATGTGAGTGGAGATTTTCATAAACAGAAACCGATTCTGGTCTCTGGCCATTAATAGAGTGGCTGTTTTGATTTGTACTTAGCAGGCTTCATTGTTTGTTGAAGTGGCGTAAACATGTCGGTTCAGTGTTGCGCGGGCGCTACTTGGCTGCATGAGTGTAGCGCTCATGTCAGGCAGCCAGGGTCATGTAGTTAGTGCCTTGCTAAGTTCTAAGTTCTGTCTTTCTGGGCAAGCCTGTAGGTGCTTCTTCTAGTGGCCTAGCACTCATCAACCAACTCACCGTCAATTTTTTACGGTGTTAATGACCTGCGTAGGGAAAAAATAAAAGTTGCATTCATTTGAGTATTTATAACGTTCAAAGTCCTCATTTGTACGTTTTTTGGAGACAAATTGTTATGAGCTTTCTTTGTTTTTTCTTTATTGTTAAAAAAGGATTGTTATATATTATTATGGATATTATGTTATATTGTTTGTTCTATCTTTGTTAATACCTTATCGAATCATTGCTGCGCTATTAATTAGCGGAAGAACTGTAAATATGTTCGCAGTAGAGCAAGCCCAGCCGTCACCAACTAGGCAAGCGTCTTGCTGTTCACTGCGGTTATAACTCAGATCAAGGGGAGGAATGCTATCCATCACGACGAGGATCGCACCTTATCTGTCAGCCTCATCCGACTGGCATGCACTCGTGCTTTCGCTGTCATATCTCCGGGGGATGCTTGATCTTTTTCGAAAAGTCTCGGTTGTTGGAAGACTGTCATTAATTGTTAATTAATTCATAAATTAAGTCATAGATTCAATGACATAGGTCATTAGCTTCAAGCTCATTCTCAAGTGGATTCTGTGGAAAAGTCCGTAAATTATTGTAAGGATTTGAATTTTAAATCGAGTGTCGTGCGTTAAAAATCATGCAGTTGAGTTGGTAGTTGACACTTGCTATTAAATATTTTTTCCTTACAATGTAATGATGGAATGTGTAATCGTATACATAAATGTATGAATGTGCATATACATTCGAATTGAGAATGCAAAAGCCATGTTGTTGACTTTACCGGCCGAGCTTTAAAGTTTTATTTCTATTTAATTTAATATTTAAAGTCTTAGAATCGGCCATTATCGTTCCCTTACCGTTCAATGATTTGCCACTCGAAAATTTCGTCCATGTCATTTACTGATCGAAAAAAGTGAACTCTGCTTTAGTGCTTTACAGACGTTGCTTTCCCAATTGTCTGTCTTCATTGTTTTTGAACTGCTGGTGCAACGGCCTGGAATATTGAGAGGTGTAATTGTCCTTTATAATACATATTCTATTTTCGTTGTAATTTTTTGCTGAATTGGAGCAGCCTGCATTCTTTTGTTTTGACCGCCGACGAATTTTTCCGTCTATTTTCATTATCGCTATATTTTTGGTCCATTTTCATTATCATTATATTATCGGTCTATTTTCAACATCATTATGTTATCGGTCTATTTTTATTATCATTATGTTATCAGTATATTTTCATTTTCACTGTATTATCGATCTATTTTCATTAGCACTATATTATCGGTATATTTTCATTATCGGTATATTACGGTCTATTTTCAATGAATTGACTAATTTTTGATTTGAAGTGCCGCAGAATAATATGTACTGTTTATGATTGATAACTTTGTATCGTATGATACCTTCATATGTATCTGGTAAATCGTAGTCATTGATCGTCTTGCACTTCTATGTGTATCGTCATGAGCTTAGAAAATCATTTTCTGCATTCGAGTTTGATATATTCTTCCATTACGAATAACTTTCAACACGTTGGTCTTGCGAATTTGAATTAGTTTCCCTTAGAGACCAAGTCTGTTTCGAGGAACTTCCAGTAGGAGGGGGAGAGTTTGCAGCGAGGACGTCTTGATTCAATTAACTTGTCAGGAGTTTAATTATGAACCTAATTGTTGCTGTGCGGCGATGCTTGCTTCTGGAGAGAACTGGGTTCAAATTTGAACATCTGAATATCTGATCGAAATTGCTATATTTGTTTCAAGCAAACAACTTACCCTCAAAGGGAATACTTTAACAGGTAAACACATCTCCAAACATTCCTAGACTTTCACTATGTTGTTATCAAACACCGTCAATGATCGCAACGTCTACATTTGATACGTTACTAATGACCAGACGACCTTATCTCTGCACACCATTGATATATTAATATTTTCCTTCATTTATACTGACCGCGCGTGTCGTCAGAATACTTTATACCATATATGGTGAATTAATTATGCAGTCGAAATTGACAGAGATTCCATAGAGAAAACTTTACGATACGATAATGTATGCACCTATTTATGATTTTTTTTACTTTTACTTAATCATGCATCTAGAATTTTAAAATTGACAATTAAATTTTTTAACACAGCAGAGGATTTAATCGTAACATTTACCTGGGAATTTAACTGTTCAATCTCAATCTCTGATCTGCTTAGGCTTTAAGATCATCATGCGTTACTGTATTAAGCACTCCACGAAATTATATATAAACAAAATATATATCTCAGAAAATGTGGCCGCCGCGGCTAAGCACTCATGCAGTGTTGAGGAAGGAGAGCGGCAGCATAAGAGGACAGGATTAGATGTCTACAGTGCAATCGCTGCAATAATTATTCGATTATTGTACACTGGTGTTATTAATTATTGGTTCTGCAATATCAAGAATAATCAATTATTAATGCATGCAGTGGTAGGAGAATAGTTAATAATAACAGTACTGAGATGAGCACCAGCATTGCTTCAGGCGACATTGTCATAGTTCTCAGTGTACACTTCAGTGTTGTGCTTAATCTTTATTTCATCTCATTTTTAAACAATAAATTCCAGGTTATTTATTCATTGTTCCGGTGTAATATATAAATAATTAAATGATTGTTTACGTGACGTTATTATCGATAATTTCACTTCTTGTCCAACTTCCTGCATTGCCCTCGAGTTCTGTGTTATTATTGCTGGGCTGCTAAAATTTATATTAATTTTTCAAATTATGAAATTTTTCGTACTAAATTTTGTAATAATCTATTATAAAAAATTTTCATTAGAGATTATTCCATATATTATAAATGTGCAATTGTTGATGTGTTAATTGTTCTATAGCTTACTATACGTGTGTCTTTAGAAAAGGCTCTTTATTTACACGCATTAACAGGGCTAGATAATTTATTTTCTGTAAGACGTTTTAATTCCATCTTTTTTTCTAACAGATTAGGCGATGTGTAAATATAGTAGAATGTTAAAAATGCGCGGTAACTTAAAAAAACAGTTAAAAGAAACACAGAAAAAGAGATCATAGCCCACCAGATACTCAGGTAGATACTCTTATTATTTTACAATTATTTCTGATGTCTTAATAATAACAATTATTATGGTAATCGTGATACTCAGGTAGCACTCGTGCAAAGTGAAATCTTGATGAATACTCAGACACTGGAATATAACATTTAATTAAACGTGGGATTTCTGCAGTTTTGTTTGTGATCATTTTGCATTGATTAATACTCGGAAACAATAATAATGTGACAGTACATTTTGTAGTGTCAGTAGTGGCCTATTGTTTTAGCATTACCGTTGAAAAAATATCAATTGTGATAGGCATAATATAATATAATACAATTATTTATAATTACGAACAACAGTGTAATTAGTGAAATTCTCGGTGCGTGTGCTAGTGCATACTTCGAAGAGGATCAAGTAACTGTAAAATGGTGAAGTAAAGAAAACAAAGCGTTGAGATGGAAATTATAACACTGAACAGTTCTCGAATAACTAAAAAGCTTCGTTCTTTTACCCTGACTCCTCGTCCATGAAGAAGAAATTCAAGAGTTCCGTACAGTACATTTATTTCTGAATACATTGTGCACCGTTCTTATACCTGACAAATTCGTCGACTTAAAAGAGAACAAGCACTGCGTGCCATGCATGCGCTTGTATTGAATACCACAGGCCAATTAGAGATAATAACTGGAAAAATAAAGTCAACACTCAGCTGAAAATAATCGTTAGGAAATTTTATTTTTTGCACTTCTTGAGCGGTGTTGGATATTTGAAGAATAAATAAGAAAGGACAGATTTTGTGCTTAACGACGAAATCCTTACAACATATTTTCAAATTCAGCGGAATTTATGTTATATAATTTACACGCACACATTAAAATCCCAATGAAAATAACGGCAGTGTAACGTAAGAATGTTTCGACAACGACGAAGATCCTCCTGAAATTAATTAATTATTTGAAAAAGATTGGTAGTTTTGAATATTTAAATCAGTGGTTTTTTGGATGCTGATATCGAATATACAATCTTTGATCGTACAGACGCCGTTTAGTTTTGTTTCATCAAAACCTTCTACCGCTCTCTGCTCATTTAACATCCTAATTCATTGATAAGGCTCTATTCACTACATAACTATGTGCTCCATTTATTTATAGTATTAAATAATGAAACCGATCGCTTCCATAGTAAATAACGATCGTAAATTCTATCTGCGCAATTTCCAACCTAAGTCAAATCGTCATCAAACATGCTGATATTAGACATCAGTTTGATGATGAGTATGACTTGAAATAGGTAGAATTCATGCACACTGTACATTTTATTTGAAAATTCCTGCCTCATTAAATGCTCTGTCTACCACCTCAAATACAACAAGACCATCACAGAATCTTGAAGTTCGAAGATTGTTTACGCATCGACGCTCATCGGATACAACTTTTCTGCCTTTCTTAAAGATAAAACAAGGAAGTAGAAGAAAGATAAATAAAAACAAGTAACAAGATTCATAATATCAATTTCTGAAGATGCCCACCACGTCACCTCACCAGCCGCCCCCACCACCACAAGAGGTGCAGGTGAAGCAAGTTCTCTTCAGCCTCCGATGGCGAGTCATGTGCCAGATCCTCCTGGCACTTCCAGTCATCGGGATATTCGTGTGTCTCATCACTTCCATGATCTTCCACTCGGACCATATAAACAACACGGTCTGTAAGGTGAGTTTGATATTCGTGTGTTTAATACCGTTAATGATTTTGATAATTTTTTGAAACTTCTTTGAAGGTAAGGGTCTACATAATTATATATAGAAACAATCTATAATCTACACAAAGTTACCGGTTGATTGATACAATAAATCTACGGATTTTTGCCCTAACATTCGAGTTTCTCGTGCCAAGTTAATTGTGCTTCATCTAGACTTTTGCTAATTGTTTATAAAGTTAACATACATTTTAGCTTCACATTTCTCGTGAATAAAGGATAATATTTAACAGAAGAGGCCTTAGCTCAAATAAAATTAAATAATTCAGATTATATTGTCACTGACGTGACGCATGTGTAAAATATTTTTAAATAGCGTAAAATAATTTTTCACGACGCTGAATACGTTTCATAATACCGAGAAACACCGCCTCCACACATTCCGAAATAGTTCTACTATTCCTAATAAATACTTAACATAGGATTACGCTCAGTTTAGTCGAATTATTAGCGCCTTAATTCGCTTGTTTAAATTAACTCGACTTTGTGATTAGAGAAAAGATTCTTGACGCTCATTTAGAAAAGCATTCATCACTCGTTAAGTAATTAATAATTTGTTTCCATTTCGGAACAACCATTATTCTTTGCTGCTACCATCACTCCTGGGCCCGAGTACCGGTCTCGGTGGAGTTTAATTTAACATAATTTAATCGTAAATTATTCCTAAAACATAAAATTTAAACGTGTTAATTTTTTTGCATTCTTGTCCGCACTGACTCCCTGTGCAATATAATTTAAAATGTATATTTTTACAACCATAAGCATCGAGGATAACTAAAAGGCACAGCAAAGAATTTAATATACTTGAGAAATTCAAGACAACATCATGCTTAAAGAAACAAGTGTATTCGAATGGGGGTGGAATAAAGATATAGAACAGAGACAATTGTACAACGTCGTAAAAGAGACAATGTTGCCGGCGCGTGGATGCGGGTGGAGATTGAAGGACCCACTTATGTCTCTGGCAACCTTGTAATTAAAGTGGTTGATGGAGTAAAATGAGTAATGATGATGGAGTAAAATGATGGAATAAAAAGTAACAGCAGCAAATTCCAGTAAACTGAATAATACAAGCAACTTAGCAGGTGTCAATGTTCTTCAGAATGTACCAAGCAATGGTCATTGGTTAGGGCAACTGATAAACAGCTCAAATTATTAGGTATAAACTGGGGTTGATATTGAGGAATAAGCTAGAGCCTAGATGCAAATCAAGAAGTTAGGTAATGAATAAACTATTATGTAAACTAGGGAGCATGCGAGGGGCAAGCAGTAACTGTGGGAGAAAATAATAGCACTAATTAATACACGGACTAGGAAGGCTGAATGCTGTCAGAAGTGATGACGGCATTCAACCGTCAATAAAATAATAATTTACAATAATAAATTATAATAATTTACAATTTAATTTATAATAATTCACAATAATAAATTACAGATAATAATCAGCACGCAATATTCATGAATGTAGTTAAGTAGTAAACAAATAAGCAAAGGGAATCAAGTAGATATGATACACATTTGCAGTGAGTTAGGTATGCAACTAACCATTGTGAAAATAAATAAACTATCCCTACATGCCCAATAAACTATCTCAATAAACTCCCAACATGCCGTCATTTAAAATTTCATTGTACCCAAACGATTTAACAGCAGCGTTGCCAGATGGTATATTTCTATACCAGATTTCACAAATCTGGTATTTTCAGAAGGTGTCTGGTATGAATATTTTAGATCTGGTTTATTGGTATATTTACCTAAATCTGGTATTTTCTGGCTTACTGCAAATTTACTGCATTAAGTTCCACCTCGGAAGTTTGAACTTCCTCCAGCGTAGGCGTGAATTATATAGATTACTAATAAAATAGATAAATATAATAGAATAAAATGAATAGACCATTATCCCTGAGAACATCAATATCATAATGTAGCTGGTTCGCAGCAATTAAAGTGGTCTGACTAACTATGAGTGCAATAGTAATAATTCAACTTGCAGTTATTAGGCATTAAATAAAGTCAGATTATCACAGAAGTTGGCTTAATAAATGATGCATTACTACAACGAAACTCGTTACAAATTATTATATCCACTGTCCACTAACTTTAAATCATGCTAATTAAAATCCTATCCAAGCACTCACGCAAGTATTCAGCTCTTCTCAGCACCAGCCACCAGTATAAAGTGGTCCGCTTGTTGGAAGACACCGCGGAACTCGGGGTCCTAAACCCCGGATCATCTTAATATGATATAGCATGCTATAGTTTTGCTTTGTGGCGAAAGGGCCATGGTAACCCCCGGTTACAACAATCAACAAACGTCATAAAAGAGACAATTCTACATCGCCACTCAATTAAATGTTAATTATAATCTCAAACCAGACGTGCAGTGATTTAGTCCTCGATTTTTGTTGCACTTGTTGGCATATTTGCTCGGAATTCCGTACATTTATTTAAAGCAATCGCTATAAAATTTAAATATTTATTTCAAGTAAACATTTGATTCTATATATTTCTCGTCACGTTAACTCCGTTGTAACACATCCATGTGGCAACATTTCTTCTCGCTTCGAGTCACCGACATGCGGAACAGCCTCCCTGATAGCATCGTTGACGCTCCGAGTATGAACGCCTTCAAGAACAGACTAGACGAAGCCATGCAGGAGCATATGTTCAGTCTTAAAATGCCTAGCAAATTACGGACCAGGCAATAAGTCCAGCAGCTATCTCAATCAATCGTCAGCTAAGGAAAGATCGGGTTCCAAAGGCCGGATCCCTTGTGAATCAAGTCACGAAAAGTTCAAGAATCGGCAATAGGCCATGGGCCTATTTCTTCAGTGCCTACACTTCTATTCTATTCTAATCAAAATTCACACCTTTGCTCTTAGATTCTACTTCCGCAGCAAGTGAATGAAAAAGATTTATAATATATTTAACACTCGCCATTATAGTCTTTACATTATAGGCATTTTCGCTATTATTTTCCTGCGTCTGATGACTCGGATACCTCCTGGAAATAGAGAAGCGGGCTCTGGAAATGAGCGAGTCATGTTTCGGGAAATGAGCGAGTCATGTTGTAGGAAATGAGCGAGAAATCCGATTCGTCTGAGCAGTTTTGCCGCCAGCTTTCATTGCCCGCCAATTACGGTGATGGCGTCACTTGAGATCGAGCTCGTATTTTTTTTTTGCTGAAAATCTTAAATCTTTAAGTGCGTTGGATGATTTCCCATCATTTTGCGTTAAAAATTTCAGCGTCATCCGACACTAATGGTTAAGGATTTATTAACTTCGTAGTGTACAGTAACTTTATTGCGGATTCACTTAATCGCGGGTTTCAAGAAATATTAATGAGAAAATTCATTAACAGATTTTCGCTGGTTCGCGAATTTCTCAGAAATTCGATCGTCTAGTACTCTAGTTTGTAAACAAATATATCCAAAATTGAATGAAATCATACATATTTAAAAACTTGTACTTTAATTGATTTATAAATAATTCAAATCATGAAAACTTGCCAAACATACATACAATATGAATGCTGAAATGTGAAAAAATATATCAGTGGATATATTTCCCCTCGCTGTTAATACTTATCGCAGCGGCCGAGGTCAGCAACTTGGCAACTGCTATTATATATAACTGCTATTGTGAGGGATTACAAACTGGTTGTGATATATTGGAATGCGATAATGGTCGAATCAAGTTATATTCGACACATGATACCAAAGTCTTTGGAGATCTTTTATTTTGCTTCAGTTGAATTTGGAATGGATATCGTGTCATAGTGTCTTAGAATGGTTATATATATAATAATATTGTGTTATACTGTCTTAAAATGGTTAGATAAAATGGTTATCGTGTTATAGCGTGTCATGACGAAATTGGCGATATGAAAATTTGTAGAATCAGTAGATGAAGCTAAAAAAATTGGATACCCATTTGAGAATAATTTTATTATTGAAAGCTACATTTTTCACTATCATTTCTCATAGCTGAAGTCCAGCTAATTTGTTATATTAGTCATCAGGTTTCTCTTTCTTAATGGAATTTGTCTAGAAAAATACACGCAGATATGAGTTCGACAGTTTTTTGTTACATTGTTCTTCTTATTTTAAGTGTTCCTGTCTATACACCCGCGAGTCATACATTATTAGAACAAAAATTTTAGTTTTACTTCAAAACTGAATTTGATTGCTTCAATAGCCTTTATATTTGACTGGCAAAAATGGCCGCCGTTAACATGTCCTATTTTCAATCGGGAAATTTTGCTCCTAAATTCTACCAAAATACCACAAAAAAAGCTTTTGGGTTCAAAATAGGCGTATTAGTCTATAATGAAGCTGAAGAAGCGCCGCTATTCCATCCATCCTAGCCACTCCAGCTTCTTCTGTGTCACGGCGGAGATCGGCGGAGATCACGGCCTAAATCATCACGACGCTTTAACAATTGACGATGAAGTCCTTCATCATCGCCCTAATTCATAAAACAGCTATTCCATGGCATATTACTTTGCATTGTATATTCCCAACGCACAAAAATAGTAACTTAATCTTTTTATAAATAATGCGAAGACGCCTACATAACAAACCAACCGAAGAAATAATCTCAAAACATTTCCTGGATACGAGTAAATAAACTTCGAATTGGTACATGTGGTTTTCCTTGGTAAAAAGAATTGAACAAAACGATGATTATTGATGATAAATTATTACCTAAATTTTCTCTTCACATTCATAAAAGTTGCAATAGTCTCGTGTTTTCAGTTCTGATTCGCCATCGATTAAAAATTAGGAAACCGACATGAGGGGCGAAATCCAATGCTCGTTTTGGCGTCAATTATAATTATTAATTGTGAGTTCCATATGAGTTCACACAGTGGAAAATAAAATTCATAATTGAATGACCTCCTAGTGAATAATAAAATAACTACAGTTTAGCGTCACGTCTTTTGTAGCACGATATCGAATTCGGTCGCGTGAATAGTTCTATAATAGCTGGAGGCAAGTTATAACCCCCAGGCTTAATACATTTTTCATCCACAAACTGGCTCATTTTTATTAAATTGAATATTAAAACCTAATTTATTTCATATTAGAGGCCTTGCCAGTGCACGTCGATATCCTACTCGATATCGTTCAGCTTGACCGGCCATATGACATCCAAACTTGTTACATTATTGAAACTGTCATTAATTATTCTTTGCTCCTGACCTTGACCTCATAGGCATATTAATTTGTAATAGATGAACTATTAATATTTAAAAACGTTGAATGCATTTACCAGCCTCCGGGGTATGAATTTCGACCAACGCTGGTTGGAATCGACTATTCAAGAGAGAGGGGGTCGCGTACGCATTTCAATCAGCGCTCACGTGTCATAAATATTATTTACGGCACATTAATGTCATAAATTAGCATGCGATATTAAGCTTGTTTAGCGATATTTTTATAACCATAAAATATAATCAATATTTAGATGCCAAAATATAAATGCTAAACATATATAATGTTAATATTCTGTATATTTCGTGATATTTCGCTTGGAATGGGTATTTCGCTCCTTTTAGCTGAATCACTCAAATTCAATATTTATCTACTTTTTTATTTTCGTTTATAATTTATTACTCTTAAACATTAAGGAAATCAAGATAAATGCCTGTAATATTGTCAAACATCGTTTTCTGTAAATTGGCCTTACCCAGCGATCGCATATACTGCGCACGCTCCTACATAACTTGGCATGAGCGCCGAACATTAAATTTCACTCGTGCATCATGATATTGACGCATCACTTAATGATTGGTGCGAGACACCATGTACACCATGTCACTGTCGTGCAGTGCTTAACGCCACTATATGTGCAGTGATGGCAGCTCCGTTATAAGAGGGTTCCCTCGGTGAGTTCGAGCCCACCGAGTCATGGGTTCGAGCCCACCGCGTTATGGGTTCGAACACACCGAGTCATGGGTTCGAACACACTGAGTCATGGGTTCGAGACTTGTGAAGCTCAGTTCATTTTTCTATGTTGCTGGTGGACGAGCATTGCCTTAGGTTGGTGTCCCTAGAGGAACTCTAGGAACTGGTTAACTAAGGGATCTTATGACTGTAACACGCGCTAGTGACACGTGCTGCTTCGCGCGCTGGCAACACGTCGCGGAGGCCATTGCTTCTGTGCCGAGGAAAGCCTATCTTCGTCTCGCCGCCACCAAATTATGGAAAACTGAAGCAAAAAAGCCCATCACTTTTTCTCTGCAGCAAAATAAGTAACACTGAAATAGAATTATAGTATGGGCCTACATATGCCTGTGAGATGTAATGTGAATGCTAGTGGCAACTTGCTCACACAAATGCTTCCAGCTTTTAAACCTAAGGATCATAGCTATTGATTGAGATCTATCCACAAATGAATGAAAAAATATAACTCAGTACTCACTGAGGTCACGGACGACGGACAGACGGACGGACAGACAGACAGACAGACAGACGGACATGGCGAGCACAATAGTGCATTTTTTCCATAAATGAGAAAATGCGCTAAAAAGAAGGCATGTGTCATATTTTAATTCCAGGCTTGTTTTATATTAAAACCTAAATTGAAAAATATAAATCGACCCCAAAAGGGAAATCGGCCTAAGCAAATAACAGAAACCTAAGTCGCAATGCCAGCAGAGCAAAATATTTTTATCGATTCAATTTATAGCTTATTTAAAATAAAGTAGTTTCTTATGACTTTGTAAGAATTTTAAGTAGAAACGAAAATTTACTAGTTACTGCTAGCCAGCCTACGTATATAGTTAACAATAAATCAGGAGAAAATAAATGAATAAATAGCAGCTACTGCCACTGTAGCTTCGGGCCCAATTATAATGCGTTTATATCGCTCCTCGTCCGTAATACAGCGGGGCAGTGGGAGCAGTTAGCCGTGAACAGATGAGACTGTTGAACATATCGCGGGCTCTATGGAGGAGTGAGCGGCGGCGTGAGGAATGGTTCATTCCTAAGCTTATTAGTTATGCTGCTGCGCCATGTTCATTCCTAAGCTTATTAGTTATGCTGCTGCACCATGTTCATTCCTAAGCATATTAGTTATGCTGCTGCACCATGTTCATTCCTAAGCTTACTAGTTATGCTGCTGCGCCATGTTCATTCCTAAGCATATTAGTTATGCTGCTACAACATGTTCATGCCTCAGCATATTATTTATGCTTAAATCGCTTGCTTGCTTGAATCGCAAGTTAACCAGGAATTTAAAAGCAAAGACAATATCACAAAAATTCACCATAGCTTTATAAGAGAAAACGTTTCGGAGTCCAGCTCCATCGTCAGTTCATAACACAAAATTCTCTTCAGAAAAAGTTCAGTCCTAGAAACACAAATCAGATTTCAAAATTGAAAATAAATAAATAAGATATGAAATTAACGCTGGTAAACGGCCTATCTATTTACCATTTCAAGAGGAAAGGAGCTAAAAGCGGCATTCAGACTAGGCTCCTGTTTAAATATATATACAGGGATTCTAAAATTCGTAGATCACTAACACCGGATTCAGAAGCTAGAATTTTGAAATCACTGTCAGATACAGAGGTGTTGCACTGTTCGGCATGAACAGTGCAACACCTGTTAGTGATCTACGAATTTTTGAATCCCAGTATATATTCAAACAGAAGCCTAGTTATTTGTGTTTCTAGGACTGAACTTTTTCTGAAGAGAATTTTGTGTTATGAACTGACGATGGAGCTGGACTCCGAAACGCTTTCTCTTGTAAAGATATGGTGAATTTTTGTGGTATTTTCTTTGCTTTTAAATTCCTGATTAGTTGATTAGTTATGCTGCAACGTCATGTTCATGCCTCAGCATATTAGTTATGCTGCTGCACCATGTTCATTCCTCAGCATATTAGTTCTGCTGCTACACCATGCTCATTCCTCAGGAAATTAGGTCCGCTGCTACAGTGTTCATTAATTCCTCAAAAAGTGAGGTCTGCCGTCACTCCTTGGTTATACCTGTGAATATTAAGTCTTCAGCTGTACCGACTCCGCCAACTAATTAAGAAACTATCTAGATTATGAATGAAACTATTAAAGATTCACCGGAATTTACATTTTTTCTTTCACTTATGCACGATAAGGCTGAAAGTTATGCAGTTAGTGACTGGAAGGAGTGCATTTTGAGTGAATCTACTGTCAGTCTTGAAATTTTAAATCAGTTTTACTGATCTAATCAAAAATAACGAAACTCTGTTCGCGGAATATTTCCCAAGCTGAAATATCGATTTTCTAAAGAAGTGTCAAATATTTAGAAGTGAAAGTAGAAACAGGAAGAACGAGCTGATATTTGAAAGACAAAGAAAACATTTGAAATCCTACTGCTCCTATATAAATTAGAAATCGCTTCATGATTAAATACAATAGACGCTATTTTCGCGGCAAATTAAAATTATAAACGCTTTTTTTCGCGGCAAATTAAAATTACTTATATTAATTTTGTGAATAGGGGCTGTGGCTAGCGACCTTAGGTTGTGCTGGGGTAGCGCTCGATGACCTCACACGGCAGCTCGATGACCTCACACGGCAGCTCGATGACCTCACACGGCAGCTTGATGACCTCACACGGCAGCTCGATGACCTCACACGGCAGCTTGTTGACCTCACACGGCAGCTCGATGACCTCACACGGCAGCTCGATGACCTCACACGGCAGCTTGATGACCTCACACGGCTGCTCGATGACCTCACACGGCAGCTTGTTGACCTCACACGGCAGCTAGATGACCTCACACGGCAGCTTGATGACCTCACACGGCAGCTTGATGACCTCACACGGCAGCTTGATGACCTCACACGGCATCACTATCATCACTAAAGCATCACTATAATATACTCATCATCATCAAGAAGTTATGTTCGAACATCATTCACGATGCCGAACTGTGTATGTCGTGTCTGAACATCAATGCATAATGTCTGCGTATGCATTGTCTTCGTATCATCAAAAATAGCTATAATTTTTCAATTCTGTTTGCCAATCTTTAATTGCCTTTGAAGCGAAACCCACCAATCACAGACGAGAATTCTGCCGCTACGTATACTTAGGCCGTTTTTTTTCGGCCGCTACGTGTTCTTAGACCGCTACGTGTACTTAGACCGCTACATGTACTTAGACCGCTATACGTATACTTAGACCGCTACGTGTACCTAGAGCGCTACGTGTACTTAGACCGCTACGTGTTCTTAGACCGCTCCGTGTAGTTAAGCGAGTTTCAATAGTTCGGCCCCCGTTTAATCCTAACATCTCCGCAGGTCTACAACTTCCTACCAAGCATCAGTGCCGTGACTGGGGTGTCGCCACAACGCTACTTGTGGCGAGTGGCAGTGGCTCTCCACATCTCGCCACGGCTGCTCGTGGCGTTCGTAAGCAAGTCTCACTACGAGTCTCTGGGCTGCATTCTGTCGCCGCCCCAGCGGCCGGCCTACCAGAGTCTGGTTAGGGCCGCCTTCTACCTCAACCTCGTGGAGCTGGGCACTCTTTGTGGCGTCACCTACATCAGCAACAAGGAGAACTACCGTGAGTGTGGTGTGGTGTGGTGTGGTGTGGTGTGGTGTGGTGTGGTGGTGTAGTGTCTGGTTAGGGCCGCCTTCTACCTCAATCTCGTGGAGCTGGGCACTCTCTGTGGCGTCACTTACATCAGCAACAAGGAGAACTACCGTGAGTGTGGTGTGGTGGTGTGTGGTGTGGTGTGGTGGTGTACTGTGGTTTGATGTGGTTGTGTGGTGTGGTGTGGTGAGCTCGCCACGCTCTGTGGCGTCACTTACATCAGCAACAAGGAGAACTACCGTGAGTGGTGTGGTGGTGTGGTGTGGTGGTGTGGTGTGGTGGTGTGGTGTGGTGGTGTGGTGTGGTGGTGTGGTGTGGTGGTGTGGTGTGGTGGTGTGGTGTGGTGGTGTGGTGTGGTGGTGT